GCATAGCCCTGATGTAGATGTTCTCGCCACCTAGAGGCGTAGTTGAGATGTTTCAACATTTATATAAAAAATATGTGAAGATAATTATTTTAGAAACAAACAAAAATAATAATATGTATTTATTTTCAATACCAGTAGAAGTGTAAACAAGGCCTCAAATCTAATAAATCAGCTTCCGTGGATCCATATGATCATATTACAACACTTACATTCCTGGGGGGATGAATAAAAATGGAAGGTGTGCACAAACAGAACGAGTTCAGCRCGAAGCCGTGGGAGGAGAAACGCCAAAGTACAGAGCAGAGGGCCACGTTGTCCAACAAAGCCTGCCTTCTGTTGTTGTGAGACTCGCCAACAACAGGCCCTCTTTAACTATAACTGTTCAGCAACCTCACTGATCCCTCTCACGGCTCTTCAGTTTTGGAGGGAATTGACTGAAAGAGAGGAGAGGCCGGGAGTAGCGTCCACCTCACATCCACAGGAAACATAGAGAGTCTGTTTGTATTCACGTTTATAAAAACAAGGGTTCAAAAAGAGCTGAGGTTATATACAGAGAGGCTTTTCTCCAGGGGTTACRGTGTGAAGGCTTTAAATCCATTTAGCCCTAGAACTTCTATTGGATTTTACTGTTTGGACTTTTCTTTGTTTTTTCTGGGCAACAGATACAGATGAAGCAGGAATACAGCTACATTTCTTCATGAAGCCTGTGTTTGTGCCGAATATTTAGGGTGGCATTTAGTTTCATCATGCCTTTTACAGGAAAGATGCAATAAATCAACAATCATGACTTTATGTTCCTAGACTCAAGCACAAACCTTTCACAGAGTTTATGTCTCCTGCATGTATTAAAGCATGACTGAATTCACACATTATAATAATAAGCTAAATTAAAAYTTTTTCTTCAGGTAGCTTGATAACTTTTGTGAAGAAAGAATTATTATTTCAACACTGAATTTTGTTCTAACAGAAGCTTTTCAAAGTCAATGAACAAACTATGAACAAATCCTGAATTTCCCCTCTGCAGGACAATAAAGACTGTTTCTATTCCATTCAAATAGGCCTTTTTCTCTGTTCATAGTTACCATTATTATGTATTTACCTTGGAGTCTTTTTTTTTATTATTTTTTTGGACCCTGTAATATTTTGTTTTCCATGAATWTATCATGAATCATTTGTTTTTTGTAACTGAATCATGGCCTCAGCCTAACAAATCACATGAATTCACCAGCTGACAGATGTCTGACACGTGTCAGGCTTGTGTTCCTGCTGCACCTGCTGAAGCTAAAAAATGAAGCTGGTTCGAGAATTAAAAAAAAAACTGACTATTGTGCCTTAAACGACTAGATACCTCCATCAAGGAGGTTATGTTTTCGGTCGTGTATGTCTGTCTGTCTGACTGTCTGTGGACAAAATTACTCCACAACTTATGGAAGGATGTTCATTAAATCTTTACCACAGGTGGGTATTGGCCAAAAGAACACACCATTAAATTTTGTTGATGATCCGGATCACGACCCAGATCCAAGAAATTTTTTGGAGGATTCTTCACTATTGCAGGATAGGGGAAATTGGCCTTGGCGGATATTTGCACTCTCCGAGTGCTTTTAGTTGAGATTGTTTTAATCAAATGTTTATATTTGATCTCCACATRTAACCTTAACCAAAGCCATAAACCTTGTGTGGCAGTTGTTGTTACCTCCTTCATTCAGAAAGAAATGCAGTGAGCTCCATGTTCCTGATATAAACATCTGCATTAATGAGCCWTTATGGGCTTGTTGTTAAACACAGAGTCTCTCATTTTACAAAATCCTTAAAAAATGCTTTGAACTGTTAAAATGATATGAGCAATAAATATCTTACCTGTAGTTCATAAAATATATAGGCATAGAGTTCATTTCTAACCAGATAAATGAGCTAACAGCTAGTGCGAGTGAGGAAGGTTAAAGTGGATGCATGTATTATCATAAATAACTGTCAATCTTGTTTTTTCTTCTTTTTTTTCCTTTTTGTACGCTAACACAATTTTGTCCTAGAGGTGCCATAACGTGGCCAAAGCTAGCTGCAGAGGTGTAAAGTAACCAGGTAGAAATACTTTGTTAATTCACTTAAATAGAAATTTTGGTTATCTGTACTTGAGTAATTTTTTCAGCCATTTTTTTTACTTTACATACAACTATCTGTATTTTCTAATCTTTACATTTGTTTAAGTAATAAGTAGAAAGTCGTTATTCCTATTTCATTTGGCCTTTTTTCATTCCAGCTTGTTATTATTTAATATACATTTACAGTACACATGGGTTTGTAGGATCCATCACACCTGTACATGATACAAATCATGTCACACCCCAGCAGGACATGTACAGTATGTAGCCTGTATGAAGATGATCATGGCAAAGATACTGTATATATCTAGTATAGATAAAACAGGTAGGGCAGCACAATTTTTTCAACGTTAACATTTTATTATAACAATATGGTCATAATCAGCTTTAGAAAAAAATAGTTTTTGGAGGTCACCTTCCAATACATTTCATTTTTGACATTTTAATTACTCACTTTTCCTCAATACTTTTATTTGTATTACAATTTATATCATAAATTTACTTTTGATATAGTAAATGTGTACTTGAAGTTTTTTAGTCAAGAAATATAGCAAATTTATGGTAAGATACTTTTTTATGCTATTGAGGTATTTTATAGACTGGCTAGCTGCTGATGTCATTGTTTGCACATAACTCCAGAATTCTAGCTTTAAAAAATAACAATGCAAAGTTGACAGAATTGTAAAGATTTAAAAATTATCTTTAGCCCAAACTCTTGAAATATTTGGGACTGGAGTTGTTTTTAGTTGGCACCAGTACTTTTTAKTTTGAGCAATTAGCTCATAAGTCTGGTCAAAATAAAACTCTTAATCCTATCTAAGGTTGTTCAAAGACCTATCTATGACAGGTAAGATAGTCACTATCCATAATCTTTCCACAGAATTGTCCTTTAAAATATCTGCTTCATTGTCTAGG